AAATAAAATATATAAACACCCGTTATGTATTTAGTTTTACTGCAGTCCCCCCCCCATGTTTTAAACAAGTTAAAAACTGGCAAAATATTGCCACTAAATTTGTCTAAGGTTACTAAGGTTGCTCGATAATGGCAAAAATCATAATTATTTTAATCAATACCGCAAACACAATTATTTAACAATTAGGTGTGGGTGATATGACATATCTGATGATATATATCAACTGTATTTTGCTGGAAATAAGGCTACTATGATATACAATTTTAATAACAGTGAAATGTCATAACTCTTGATTTCAATTTCGATACCACAGCTGAAACTAATACTAGACTTAGTTAAGAACGGCACAAATACAAACAATAAATAACAGTGGTGAGAAAAGCAATAGCATAAGGTCGACAAATGGCTAAATAATTAATAATTAAATATAATAATCAAAAGGTAAAAGTTTTTTTTTATGCAGGTTGAAAGAAATTCTACTTTTCTTGTATTTGTGTCTCAAAAAACACGTCTAATGAAATGTTTTTTTTTCCTCAATGTTATATTATATTACCATGTCAAGTTCCTTCTTATTCATATAAAGGATTGCATCTGTGTAGCATTATGGATGATCTTTAACCCCAGATAGGATGTGGCTGATCCAGGTATATATGAAGCTGTATGACTGTCTTGCACTATAAATCTGTATCCTGTCAAATAACACACGACCCTGACCTGCTTCTTACCGCTGAGCCTTTTATTAATCGCTACCTTTCAGCAAAAAAAACAAACCCGGATCTTCTCCTCAAACCAGCTGGATCATACCGTTCCTGAACAGACTCTCGGAAATGTGAGGGGGGTCAGATGTGGACCGTTTGGGGGGGCTAATTGAAATAAGGAAGAGATGATTTATTGCAGCTGGCATTAGGCATGGACTAGTAATGGTTTACACATGGAGCCGTAACCAGCGCCAGGAGCTCTTTTGTTATGGAAACTTCTGGCTTTCCCGACAAAGCATGTGGGAGCTCAGGGCTGATGGCGGAAGCTACTGTAATTGGTATTGATCATAAGATTTCATTGTGAATCTTAACTCTATTCGATTGAGTTTGTGCACATTCATTTAGCCGCATTTGTGAGACAACAGGTTTGCACAACCACGTTTTCCCATCCTTCACTGTGGCAGCACAGAAGCATTTTATATGAGAGAAATGTTAAATTGGCCAATGTGTTTATATCAGACTGACCAAAATGACTTGAGCACACATTATAAATATGATTTCCAAACTCCCTGGAGGTCTTACCTTCTGACGGAGCTTAGGTCCAACTTTAATCAAACACACCTGAAGCAGCTAATCAAGGTCTTTGAGTTCACTGGCAAATTACAGGCAAGTGTGTTAGCAGTAAACTGCACAGCAGGAAGGCAGATAAGCAGGACCAGGGCTGAGCTCCCTCGTCTTCATCACAAGAAACTTACAGCCCTTGACTAATATTACTGCAATCTTCAAAACACTCAGTAAAGGTCCTTTGCAGCACTCTATAGGGTTGCTATATGGTTCTTTTGAGATTAAAGCACAAGAACATCAATGGTTTTCTATAGAACAAGAGCTTAATGTGTACAACAGATATCAAAACTAACTATAAAATTCACTGATTTTAAAATTCTGGCTCATAGGCATAATTATTTTGATGTTATGGCCTATAACCATCAAATGGCTAATATTAAAATTCTATAACACTTTGTGTTAAAAATAAAACAATCATTTTTAATAAATACAATTAAATAAAACCAAGTTTTAAATGCCACAAGAGAATTTAGACATCACAATATTATAATTGAAAGTATGAAAGTTAAATATTCATTTTGAGATCTGCTAAAGTTTATAAATAACAGTGTTATTAAATTACTAGCGTTTTAACTTCAAGTGTTAGATGATGGAAAACGTAATATAAATAGGCAGCAGGGTTATTATCGCTTTCTAAAACTATTACAAAATAAATTACTTCCAATAAAATAAACATTAACTGAATTTAAAAATGCAAAATAAATAAACAAACAAACCAAAAACACTGAAACTTATTTGATTTGAGCTGGTTGCCAAGTTAATATTTCTTATTTTCATTTTCAAAACTAAATAAACTAAAACTATAAAAATAGTTTTATTTAATAGTGTGTGTGTGTGTATTATAAAGTAATAGAAATGACAAAAAGAAACAAAATTACTAAAATTACAATTTTATTAATTTCTAAACAAATTTCAATATAAAATAAAATTAAATAAAAATGTAATATTGGCTCATAAGCGATGGGGTTGTGCATCCCTAAAATTGACCCTATTTACTTTTTTTAATAAACATTCCTGGTTTTATTATTCACAGTTGATCAGTGCATGTTATTCCAAAAAGAAATGAGTGTTTACTTTCATGTTAAATCAAAATGTGAAATGAGTTTTCTTTTCGACTGACGTCCCAACTGCCTCCTATTGTTCAACCACCTGGAAAAAGTGACGCTTCAAAACCTAATAGATAAAATAAAGTCCTTCCTGGCATGTTTTTCTTGTGAAATGTCCATATTCACTCAAAAATATGTGGTATTATGCAAGTAAAATGGGCTTTGAATGCTGTTTTTAGGTTCTGACTGGAAGCTCAGACCACATAATAGAGTCGAGTTACAAAGCAATGAGTCTTTATCCGCCGTATTGAGACACAATTATGTGAAAATCATTAACTAAACCCTTAACATACCACACACATCACGTCTCTAACCCCACCCTGGTCTGAGATAGCGCAGGTTCAGTCCACACGGGACGCTTACACACCAAACCGAGTAGACGGCTGGAGATACTACGGATTGCACATTAACTCCTGCCGTGACGCAACCTGTTTATTCTTCTGACCAATCCTTGCTAGTTGTTGTAAAACTGCCTGTCTGTTTCTATGGCACGGCATCAAAGACCAAAAATTGGACCGTTTGAGAACTTTCCGAGTGGACACAGATCATTTCAGGACATAGTGGGGGGGCCGAGGACGCAGATCTGCTTGATAATGCAGCTCTGTGTGCAGTTATCTGCCGATTATTGGCCCTGTCGGCTGGGCTGTTGAACTCAGTGACCCTCTGCCTTCACCTCGCTGACCTTCCTGGTGTTGGCACAAGCTAAACCCTCTCAAAGAGCCATTCAGCGCGGCTGGAAGCATGCATACGCGCTTATATATGTCTCGCAAACAGAGATGTGAAACTAGTTTGAGGTGGAGCTCTGTGAACGTTGTCTTTCGCATGCAGTCGGCAGGAATGTGGAAGCTGTAATGGGTGTAATTGTGAGGACTGTATGTGCACGTTTGAGGCGGGGGGAATGAGGGGAAGCAACTGTGTGAGATCGGGCTGACAGTGTGTGTGTGTGTGGTGTTTAAAAAGACAATGAGGAAAAGGGAGAAAAACTTTCTTGCTAAGTATGAATGTCTAATGAAATTCAGGACAACAGCATCTAAATGCTCGCGTGTGTGTGTGTTTCTGTATGCAGCTGCATTCTGTCATACTACTTTATGCATTATATAGTATGCATACTATGCAGAGTATGCAAATTGCTTCCATGTAACAGAGCAAACTACCTAGAGTACCTCAAAAGCGCTCTCTGAATTAACTTGCTAGCTCGTAAACAACTTTGTTTCCAGCCGTACTAATAATTAACATTAATGCTCATTTTTAATGTTTTTGAAAGAAGTCTTTTATGCTCACCAAGGCTGCATTTAATTGATCAAAAATACAGTAAAAACAATAAAATTGGGAAATATTATTACAATTTAAAATAACTGTTTTCTATTTGAATATATTTTAAAAAATCATTTATTTCTGTGATGCAAAGCTGAATTTTCAGCATCATTACTCCAGTCTTCAGTGTCACATGATCCTTCAGAAATCACTCTAATATGCTGATTTGATGCTCGAGAAACATTTCTGATTATTATCAATGTTTAAAACAGCTGTGCTGTTCATATTTTTGTGGAAATTGATACATTCCCATCACACACGAGGATACATTCAGATACATCCCAGGATTCTTTGATAAACAGAAAGTTCAAATGAACAACATTATTTTGAAATAGAAATGTTTTGTGAGATTATAAATGTCTTTACTGTCACTTTAGATCAATTTAATGTGTCCTTGCTGAATAAAAGTATCAATGTTCTCAAACTTTTGAAAATATGTACATAATGTGTAGTTTCACATACCATTTTTTAAAAATAGTAATAAAAATATTACATTACATCAGAACAACTGGTTAAAAACAGCCGATGTTCAGAGATGATTATGTCTATAAAAAACTATTCCAAAGCTGTGTAATCAATTATAAGTGATCTAAAAGTTATTAGAAAAATAACAGAACCACCAAACTTTAAAAATTGGCAGATATTGTTCTAAATAAACTGATATCAAATTTTCCCTCAGTTCATCCCTAACGTTTATTATTTTTAATGCTCATATCTGATATAAAAACAGGATTATAGATGAAAAATTTAAAGTAAATGAACATTTCAAATGTTGCTTGGAAACTAAATGGAATAAGTTTAATTTTGGAAGAAAAAAATTTGACTAAAATTACTGGAAAAGGGAAATAAATAAAAACTGAAATAAAAAATCAAATCTAAATTGTAATATTAAAAAATAATACAAATGAGAAAAACACAGCTAAAATGACTAAAAATTCAACCTTAATTAAAGTGAAATTCTAAAAAGAATAATAATACTAAAATACACTGAAACATACTACATTTAAAAATGTGTCTCTGTCAGCAAAGAGATGCTCCTACAACTGTCACCAAAATCCACAACACACCTCTCCATTTGAATGACAAGCATCAAATTATGGGACAGTTCTGGTCCATCTAAGGGAGCTACTTTTGGATTCATCTTTCCAGCATGAAAATCATGGTGGTGTTATGAATGCTCACTACTCTTATGCAACAACTGTCCTGTGTGAAAGTTTCAATGTCCTCACCTAAATGCTCTCTGTGTCTGTCTGTGAAGGTTGCAGGCTCCGGACCGCATGCTGTCATGCTGTCCTTAGACGAGCCACTGGACCTGAAGGTGCCGAGGGGGCGGGTCAGTGGGCGGGACAGAGGCACCAGGTCTCCGCCCACTCTCACTCCCTCTCCCATTCACGGCAAGGGGGCGGGGCAGCTGCGGATGGCAGACGACGGGACCGCCGTCATCGTTCCAGCGTCTCCTGCCTCTCCACACACAGGTAAACAAATCAGTACAGTAAGACATATAGAGCACTTTAATCGCAGAGAATAAAACAGAGGTGTGTATGTCAGCAGGTATCCTGCAGGACAAGTCGGAGACCCCCACATCGCCCGCCGTGGACCTCAGCATGTCCCCGTCCTCCCGAAACACAGCCTGCTCTCCGGATCTCTCCAATGGAAATGGCTCAGCTCCCATTTTCCCCAGGGTGAGTCCATTTTTTCAGTTTTATGATATGTTACGGTGACATTTTGGGTTGCACCCCGCAGGCCATTTGTTTACACTGCAAAAATGACTTGAAAAGTCTTTTTTGACTTGCTTATTTAGTTAAGATATGTAAAATTCAAGATCAAAATTATCTTAAAAATTGAGAAGCAACACTGCATTGGATAATAAGACTTTTCACCAAATGTACCTTTAATACAAGTGTATTTTCTGTTAGTTTTCACATTGTAGATACACTACTATTCAAAAGATTCATGTCTGTAAAAGAAATGTATTCAGCAAAGACACATTAAATTGTTTAAAAGTGACAGTAAAGACATTTATAATGTTACAAAAGATTTCTATTTCTAATAAATCCTGTTCTTTCTATTCATCAAAGGTTTCCACAAAAAT